TGCTGTGTGCTCCCCTTTGCAATTTGCACATAGTGGGCTGGCACTGCAATTTTCACTGTAATGAGCTTCCACAGAGCAATGTGCACATGTGAGTTTGACATGGCAAGACATTTCTGAGTGGCCGAATCATTGGCATTGAAAACATCGTAAGGTCTTACAGGGTAGTGCAAATACCCTGCCTTAATACTTTTCAGCAGATCAGGCGAATTGAAAGTCAGAATTACGTGTTTCGTATTGACCAACTGACAGTCTTTGCACATCTTGATCCACCTTGCAGCACTAACATTCTGAATGAACAGCTCTGAGACAATTTCTTCTTCTGAAACGAAGAGGAGGTCAGTCTCAGGTAGGTCAATGATTTGTGTTTTGTCACATTAACGTCGACTTGTCGAAGTTTTCCCAGTTTGAGAAGGGTAGCAGATTGAGCTGGAGAAACTCTTTCTATGAGAAAGTCTCCAGAACACAGTTGTTTATTGTCTTTGGCTCACCAATAGTGGCTTGTATAAGTTTCTGTAACAGGAATAGTGACTTTTTTTAAGTTCACCTTTAGAATCAAGATACAAAAAATCTGGGTAGAGTATCTTGACAGTTTGCATTCAGATTTGTTTTTTTCATTAGGAGAAGCCATATTGAAGAAGAAAAATTATTCGGACCTTGCAGCCCCACCCACCACAGAGCACAACCAGGGGATGCAGATTCCTGCACCAGGGCTAACTGGATCTATATGCAAACTGAAATCCCACAGTTGGCTTTCTCGAAAACAGGTACTCTCGAGAGCTTATCCCCAAGCCACTGACACAGGTCTCCGTGCACGGCAAACACGTGGGCAGTTTTCTCACCACTCGAAAACTAGAAACAAAGGCTGTTCCAGTTTCGCATGATGAGCCCCAAACTCTGAAGAGGAAAACCACAAGGGAGAATGGAAGCGTAAAAGTATCAGCTCAGATGAGCTCAGATAGTAATCTACAATTAATAAGTATACATCTTTGTTAATCTCAAATAAATCTGTTGCAACTTTATACCAAGGTAAATTGGGAACTTCATGTGATATCATAAGCTCTCTGTTTTTATTCTGGTATTCATTACATATAGGACATTTTGAAATTTTATCTTCTATCTGCTTGTTCATAAGTGGTCAAAACAAAACATCTCTAGCTCTTTTCTCACATTTTTCTATACCAAAATGACCCTCATGAATTAAATTTAACATCTCTCTTTGCATAGATAAAGGAACAATTACCCTTCCTCCTTTGAAAAATAAGTCATTTTCCATTGCCAACTCATCTCTGTAATCCCAAAATACTTTGACTTGAGGATCCACCTGATGTTTCCTTTCTGACCAACCTCTCAGAATATATTTCTTTAAGCACTGTAGTGTAGCATCACATTCACTTTCTTTCTTCAGTTCATAAATTTTGTCATCAGATGCTGGAATCAGCGTACAAACTTCTGTATCTTCATCATTATCTTCTGTTGTATTCAAATATGCTCTACTCAAAGTGTCTGCTATTAATAAGTCTTTCCCCTTTTTGCATTGTACATCTAGATCATATTTTTGTAAATTTAACAGCATTCTTTGCAATCACTGTGGTGCTTTAAAAAGAGGTTTCTTAGTTATGCTTTCTAATGGTCGATGATCAGTTTCAACTGTAACATGCTTGCCATATACATATTGATGAAATTTGGCACATCCAAAAGTAATAGCTAAAAGCTCTTTTTTTATCTGAGCATAATTTTTCTGACTTTTCGTTAGAGCTCTGGAAGCATAAGCAATTTTCTTGTAGTAAAACAGCACCTAATCCTTCAGAAGTTGCATCTACTGAAAGAGTTACATCCTTATTAACATCATAGAATTTTAATACGGGTGTTTTTGCAACCAACTCTTTAAGTGTTTCGAAAGCTTTTTGATGCTTTTCAGTCCAGTGCCAGAGAACATTTTTCTCAAGTAACTGCCTTAATGGTGCAGTAATAGTAGTTAAGTTAGGAATAAATTTGGCTAAATAATTAATCATTCCCAAAAATCTTTGTAGAGAAGGCACATCTGTAGGTTCTGGCATTTTAACAATTGCTTCCACTTTAGAAAAATCAGGTTTTAGTTCATTTTCACTTAACTAATGCCCTATATAATTCACACGATTAACTTTTATTTTACATTTAGCTTTACTGAACTTCAAATTATTTTCTCATGCTCTCTGGAATACTTTAATTCGTAACTCATGTTCCTTTTCATTAGATCCCCATATTAACCACTTGCGCTAAAAAGTCGTGCCACGCATGTCGATAGGCATTTATCGTAAAAATAAAAATAACATGGTGCACATGTCGCCTAACAACGAGATTGTTTATTTCTCGAGTTACAGCTCTGGATTGCACTCGCAGACACGGAGCGCTGTAAATGAGACACTTTATCGCTTGTTATATTGTAGCGCATGGCACCGCAACCGTGAAGTTTAGTTGTAGCGCAAGTGGTTAAGATATCATCTATAATACATTCAATGCCTTCTAGACCTTCTATTATTTGGCTTAATTTTCTTTGGCAAATTTCTGAAGCTGAACATATGCCAAAAGGTAATCTTTTAAATTTGTTTCTGCCAAAAGATGTATTGAATGTACACAAATTACTATTTCCTTTATCAAGCTGGATTTGCCAAAAAGCACTATTAGCATCTAAAACAGAAAATATTTTTGCATTTGGCATTCTAGTGGCAACTTCCTCAATGGTTAACATAGGATATTGCTCTCATTTTATAGCTTTATTTAAATCTCTAGGATCTAAACATATTCTTATTTTGTTCAGTTTGACAACAGTGACCATTAAATTTACCCACTCAGTTGGTTCTCTCACTTTTTCAATAATTTTCAAATTTTCCATTCTTTGTAATTCTTCCTTCACTTTATCTCATATAGCTATAGATATTTTTCTTGGAAGATGAATTACTGGTGTTGCATCTTGTTTTACCTGGATTTTTATATTCTCCATTCAAACAACCCAAGCCTTCAAATACATCTTTGTATTCCTCCAGTAAGTCTTCAATGTAAACAGACGTTACTTTTTAAATTAAACCTAGTTGCAAATATGATTTTAATCCTAATATGGAAGGTACTTCTTTATCAATAATTTGGAATTCCACAACATGACTATTTTTTCCATATTGGCAGTTAAGTACTACTTTTACTAAAGTATCCATTTTTTCCCGCAGAGAATGTAACTAATCTTTTAATTTCAGACTTCTGTATAGGAACATTTAGCAATTTCACTTTGCCTTTAGAAATAACACTGCATATTGCTCCAGTACCTAACTGGAAATTTAGTTTACTTTTATTTACATTAACGTCAACAATCAATTTCTTTTTCTTGTTACCTGAATTAAGGTTTAATGTGAAAACATAAAATTCTAACTCTTCCTCAGTCATGATTTTATTAATTTAATTTGTCTATCTTTTTTTTTTACCTTGACTGCTTCATTTTTTATTATATAGCTTTTACAATCATTTGCCTTTTTACACTTATGACAGATTTTTCCATATGCTGGACACTTTCGATACTCACGAGATGTTCCACATTTAGAACAAACTTTTGTCTTTTTTCTTCTTGGTATTTATCTCTTTGTATGTATTCTTATTATATTTACTTAGTTTCTTTTTCACTAAGTTTACAACAGTTTCCTCATCTTTTATGATTTTCATCTGATGTGCACTTATTTCAGCTGATCTGCATATATCAAGAGCTTTTTCTAATGTTAATTCTGTTTCATGTAACAATCTTGCTCTCACTACATCATCTTTAATACCACAAGCAATTTTATCCTTTGTTAAACTATCCATTAATTGTGCTAACTCACATGTTCTAGCTTTATTTCAAAGGTCAGTTTCATATTCATCTATGGTTTCTGACGTGGTTTGATTTCTAGTAAAGAATAAATGTCTTTCATACGTAATGTTTTTCTTAGGAATACAATATTCCATAAATTTTGTCTTAATTTCACTTAATTTAATTTCTTTACCTTCTTCTATAGGAAATGTATTATATATTTCAAAACCATGAATTCCTATCACACGAAGAAAAGTATTAACTCTTACCTTCTCTTCTTTATTATGTAATCCACTAGTTACTTCATATATTTCGAATGACTGCAGCCATCTTTGCCAATTTGAAGAAAGATTTCCAGCAAATTTCATCAGCCTCTGGTGGTTTTAAACTTTCCATTTTGAAAGCAAAACACTCATGACACCATATAGAATAATGAGGGTGCACTTTTAGTTTTTAGAAACCATTTATTTATAATCACAGAATGTAAAATATTACAGAGAACTGCAATACCAGAATAGGTTTATTTTCATGTCTGTATCTAAAGTATTGCCAATAACAAGTTACCAAATATTAAATGTTAAATGTTGTTGCCTTTTACAAATTATTAAATATTACAGATACTACATTTATATTAATTTATATTGTTGATACTCCATTAATAGCAATTTATATTGTTGATACTCCATTAAATGTTCCATAAATAATTACTAAGCTTTCTGATGATTATACTGAATATTTAAGGGAGCACTGCAGCTGTTCAAGAACACAATCAATTTGACCAACATTATCAATGTCAATGCAAATGGCCCTAATTTCTGAGACCATTAAGAAAAAGGATTGCAAAATATTTTGAACAGTTTAAATATAGTCTTTGGTATTCTTACAATAGTTGTAATGCTTAGATTAATTTCTGCTTATAAAGTATTTTATGATCATCCCCCCAGAATAAAATACTGTTAAAATGAAACTTTTAAACACCCCAACGCATTCCAAAGAAATAAATCTTCCCCAAAATAGCTCAAATGGCCCATTTTGACAACTTTAAATTAAAAAGTTAACACAACTGTGTATGTATATAAAGTTACAATTTCCAACCTGAAATAATAAAATAACATTCAATATCATAATAAATAGTCAAGACACTTAAATGTGCTTAAAAGCTGATTTGAAAAAAGAATGATTAACTTACCTGTAATTTTAAGAGATTTAAACAGGCTACAGCAATACATTCCTTTTCTAAACTAAAGGAAAAACTCAAACTGCCATCAGATCCATCAAAAATTAATGTCAGGAGTTCATCAAGTAACTGGAATGTAATCAGGCAGGCATCAATGACATAAGGAAGCTTAAGAGATATACTTTTCTGTTCGGTCATGGTCCATATTATAGTCTGAAAAAATTAACATGTTAAAATGAACTAAAATAACATGCTGAAGAGCAAATGCTAAAGCTACTATACTAACAAGAATCAGCAAAAGTTGTATAAATTTGTAGGTCTAGTTTTTAAGGTTAAGCAGATTTTTTTTTTTTTTTTTTTTTTTTTCTCCCAGCTGCAGAAATGAAATTTTAAAAGAGAAGCATGTGTTTTGCAATACCAACAGATAAAAAATTCGAGAAAGTTTGAATGGAACACATGTACAAAGACACAGAACAAAAACTGGTACCTTACAGGAATGCAATACAATTATTACAAAAATTACAAATCACTGATGTATCAAGACTAGCCTAACTGTCCATTTCTTAATATTTAAGATGACTTCAAAAAATTGTGTCTTTCAAAGAGGAATAGTAGGAGGTTGTACAGTTGATTCTTTTGGATGACTACTGGATCAGAATCTAGGATCATCAAGATTTTTTCATTAAGTCCTTAAGTCATCTACATATCAAATATCGATCATATACTTTCCTTAAAGCTTGCCTCCCCACTCTCCCTCAAGTTTTAGTTTAGCAACGAAAAATTCTGATAAACATTGTCAAGAGTTTTTTTTAACCCAATATATAATGTAAAAACTCATATGTGTCAAATAATTTGATAATGACATAATTGTGTATTGAGATTTCAATACTTACTCACAATGGAAGTTTAAGAAAAAATGCTATCCTGAATACCATAAATTATCTGTCTTAAGCAGAAACTAAATGCTTTCAGCAATATTTACACTTCAATAACATGGCTTTTTGTTGTTTTTAGATGACTCTGAATCTAGACTTCAAGTGAAACCTGTTAGGTTTTACGTAAATTATTGCAGGTTCCTTTCCCCAGTTAGTGGTTTTATGTGTGTGTGCATATCAACAATTCTGATTAATTAATTTGTTGTCAACTATATCATATGGTAAATACTATCCACAAGTCTAAATTTAGGGCATATAACAGTAGTCAACAAATGCTCAAAACACAATATTATGTTCATATAATTCTTCAGTAAAAAATCACAGAGAACTTTAAGAACCTTTCCCCCCCCCAAGATTTCACCGATACAAATAAACCTGTTCTCAGAAAATTGTTTTTTGATCTTAATGAGTATTTGATGTGTGGAATTTTGATATCATGAGGAATCATCAAATATTTGATATTAACAAAATATTTTCTGTATTCACAAGACCGTCTCTAGTAACCAAAGAAGTTTTATAAGAATACTAAATGCATTTCATGAAAGAAATTAAAATATATGTTTGCCAATATTTAACTTGCCATTAAACTGTTTGTATGTAAGATAAATCTATTATTTTAATATGTCAAAGTACACTAGGACTATGGGAAGGGGTGTCTTTGTGGAGGACTTTCTAAGGAAACTGGCATGTATTCATGGTAAACATGAGGAAACTATGAAAATCAACCATCAAGCCAGCCCAATCACCTCGGATTGAACCCAGATCAAATTCCCATCATAGACGGCTTTGTAATGTACCACCAGATACTGCTTTTTGAGCTAAATATTCATTTAGTAGATTAGCAAATTTATTGAAAACAGGCCGAAGAAACGGAACAAATCAAAAGTGGTTTAATCAACTAGCAATTCTGCACATCAAATAAGGTTTAACTAATTAATTTCACTAGAGAAATAACTGAAAAATGTGCATCAGCAAGAGTTAGAAATACATGTTTTATATCATACAGCATCATGCTGCCTTTAACTTTCACAATAGTGGTACCTAGCATACATCCTGGCCTAAAAGCTTACATCAGGATGTGGGACATGAATTTCTTTATCATCATTAACACCTTATACTGATGAAATTAATACTAATAATGATGAGCTAGTAGTCCAACATAATTCTGACTCACTTTTATTGTCATTTATATTTATAAAAAATATTTCAGAAGCTCTTTCAAGATTAGAAATGTTATTTTAAAGACAGAAAACATGTGTTCTTGGAGGTATAGAAAATGACACATCTCTACTAAAAAAGTGAAGAAATTATCTTTAATAGATGAAATCTATAAATTTCTTTACTTAACTAAAAATTAGCACTATAATGCACAAGCTAAATATACTGTATTCTCTGGTGTATAAACTGCACATTTTTCAGAAAAAAGCATATGAAAATCAAGTCCAGCTTGCACAAGCAAATGATTATAAAAAGGTACATATAATCAAGTGGCAACACATCACATGAAACACAGTAGCAAATATTTAAAAACTTATGATAAAATTCATTGTTGTTGGGTGAATGTTACATAGGATTCTACAAGTTTAGTTGTGATTGGCTGAGTAGAGGAAATCACGAGCTTACACCAAAAGAAAAATCAAATGTCTGAATGTACAGGATGTGTGTAAATGAGTTCTAGCAGACTGGGAAGGATTTTTGAAGTGTGAAATATCCAATGCTGATGGCTCTGACAAGGCCACTGCTATGGGATTCCAGTATCAGTGACATTGATACTGGTAGTACAGGCACCTAGTGGTACTGACAGTGATAGCGAGTAAAGAGGTGCTAAACACAGAAACATTTTCCTTTAGACTAATAATAAAAATTCTGTCACAGTGCAGTAAATACTGTTTTCACTTTAGCTGCTTTCAAACCTCTGGGAAAGTATTATTGATGGTAGATAGATTATCTGCGGCTTTATCCTCAAGAACTATTTTTTTTAATTTAGAGGTAAATATTAAGGGAGATTTATACATGTGAGAATAAGGTAAGTGCTACATTAGCATAATTATAAATCAGCTACCCTAATGGCACAGTAGTCAAGGAACTTATTGCTATCGCCTCAGACCCAGTTTCCAATTCCAGAGAAGGCAATGATGTCTGTTAAGTGTACAGGAACTTTGTAGCATGGGAGCACTTAATAAATATTGGAAAAAATTATCAAAAAACTCAAACTGCTGACGAGGTGAAAGTCTTAAGAGGATGGTAATAGGGAAAGCAGGATGAAGACTGAACTGACCCCCCCCAGAGAATTCTCCATGAAAACTGGGACAAAAGTGAACAAACTCATGCTGTCTTTTATAAAGTGTTCAAACCATTTATCAGTGATAGATGCTACTATCTTTGCATCCTCAACATGATAAAATTTGTAAACCCAATATGGCTCACATGCAAGTCAGAAGAATAAGTAACAACAATATAAATCAACATACTCTACTTTCATCATTCTTAATTAATGATGAAATCATTAAACAGATAATGATTTTTATATTTTTCCAATATTTGTAATAAAATTCTCTTTTATCCATGCATATGATATCATATTAAAATCAGTACTACCTCAATTCAGCTTCATATTTCTATAAAGTTCTTAACTATCAAATCGTATCAAGCTCTTCAAAGAAACCTAAATTATAAGAAACTCAAAACACATTTCTGATAAATTTCTTCCTAACATATACTGTACTACATTTTTCACTCTTTTAATATAATTTACTTTACAAGTAAGAATAAGGAAGACTATGAAAGATATATTATCTGAAGTGTACAGAATATATCTTTCTATCCTACAGATTTATTCTAGCCTAATGCAATTTACAACAATTTATAACACAGTAACTTACTTGCATTACACCACAACAAGCACCAACACTTTTTCCTTTAAAAGATGCAATCAATCCAGGTCCTGGACCACTGAAATCACCAAGCTGTTCACAGTCATTTGTACCCCAACCATATACTTCACCTTCATCTGTTACAGCTATGCCATAACCTAGTCCTACACTTACATCAACAATCTTCTTTCCAACAAAACTTTCCATAAGTTTAGGAAATTTTCCAGTTTCTTCACATACATGTCCTAAACGGGAATTATCAGCTTTACCCCTATAAAAGAATTGGTCAAATAAAATAAGGCTAAAAGAATATTTTAACATCATAATTCAATCATTAGTGTAAGACATTAAAAAAAAAAAAGAAGGGATGACAAGAAGAATTTTACAAAGGTTTTCAAATTTTTGCGGCTGTTCTTCTTACACTGAATTTTTAAAATATATGAGAAAAATTATTATTAAAAAAGATTACTATGATTGCTGACATTATTTTCTTGAAAAATATTTTGCTAGGGGTTTAAAAAACATTTGATTACTGCAGTTATATATATTATTCTACATAACAAGAATAAAAAAATACAGATACAGTTTTATGGAAGTGGAAGCGCACACACACACATGTATGAGTGGTTCACTTTCTTACACAAAAGCAAATGCTGTTTTGTAAGATTACATGAAGTTTGAGAAAATGAAAGACAACATAAGCAATAATATTAAAAAAGTAAAATAGCAATAAAAAAAAACAGAAATCTGCACACTATTATAAAATTTCTTTGAATAACAGCCACTACTCGAGCAAAATTATTTCGCTGAAAGTGAAATAATGTAATCATGAGAGCATATGTAAATCAAGTGCAAGTATCAAAATCCATTAATAAATATATAATTCCAAAAACTATTGGTACTACAGTCAAAAGTCTTTAATCCAGACTCGTCGAGACTTCGGCGATTCCAGATTATCAGTTTTTCCGAATTATAGATCCTCAGTTTAAATCTGGTAAGGCGGCATGCAGAAATTATACAATTAAAAATATTAAACCGTAATTTATGAAATAAAGAGCAATTATGATCTAAAGGGTATCAAAATTTACAAAAAAAGCTTAATATTTATTTGTTTAATTTATTAAACATTTCTTTCAATGTAAGTTGTTTAAGTTGCTTTGTTTTTTGTGCTAATACTTTCTCTTTAATTCTATAAACAGACATAATTTCTTGTTCAGTTACAAAGTTCCACTGTTCGAGTCCTGTAATTGCTGTGTCGAGAACACCCACTAATTTGTAAATCAAAATGTTTTCATTTTCAAGAACCTCTCTGTCATTTTCTTCACTATCAGAAGCAGTATTTTCTGGATCTAGAACCATACTACAGATTTCGCTGTCCTTTAATTGATTGATGATTGGGGCATTGTTTGTCGCAATGAAAAACTTCTGTTATATCATCTTCATTTATTACCGCTTCTCCACATTTCTTTACAAAATCCAATAACTGGAAAATTTCATCTTTAGTTTGAGATATAAGAAAACCTTAATTCACGGCTATCATCTTCATCGTCCTCACCATGAAATATGGTAGCTGGCCATAAATTATGCCAAGCATTTTTAAATGTATCTGGAGACACATCCTCCAACGTGCATGCACATGCGTAAACCCATACTAAAAAAAGTTTGTGGCTTTGAGGTCCGGATTATAGATCATTCCGGATAATGGATGTCTGGATTACGGACTTTGTACTGTACAACAAAAATTTGCGATAGCAGAAATGATTTAAAATAATCTCATGAGCAAAGGACTTTCAGTACTAACCATTGTAATGGAACTGTTAATTTGATTAAATTGCATATACATATATCTTTATGATACAATATGTTAGGAAATGGAGTATGCAGCAGCAGTATTATTCTAGAGGGCTACAGTTCCTGAGTTTAATACAGCAAGGCAATGATATGATTCCCTTGAATGTTTAACCGATCTTGCATTAATGTTTAGCATTACATAAGTACCCGTCAGTTTTGCTCATATGTTAGAAGGAAGAATGCAACTGATTCTATAATATTGCATATTATATAAAAAAATCAATGAGTACATACCAGGTGTAAACAGATCCATTTCGTGCCAAAGCAACACACATCTCTAAGCCACTGAATACACGGCAGATATCAATCCCAGTCAGTTTGTCGACTACCTTAGGAGTACTTAGCTCACAGTTAGTTCGACCAGTTTTTCCATAGTCTTCATCCCCCCATGCATATACAACACCTGCAGTTTAGAAGAGTAAAAGGATAAAACAGTTGTCATAAAAAGCACTTTCAAGAAAATTAAATCTGGTGCAACAATAGCTTGGATATAAAAGGTTCTAGCTGAAAACTATTATTTTTACTCTAAAATAAAATTACAAAAAAAAAAAAAAAAAAAAAAAAAAGAACAAAATCTTTAAAAGAGCAAAAAGCTAATTTCTTAAAATAATCAAAAGGAAACTTCAATGACAATGTTGGAAAAAGGAATTTCAGATTTCTAAACGAGCATCTCATGAATAGAATTCTGACATGATAGTATATACAAATGCTACACATCTACACCACAGCATTCTAACTTTTTTTTTTTTTAATTCAGAAAATATTGAGAGCTTTGTAATATATAGAGCTTTGTAAGACTTACAAATTTAATTTCAAACTTTTGAATTAAACTGCACTCCACTAATATTTTAAATTACATTACACACACACACACACAAAATTAAGTAAACATCTGTATGTTAAGTAGTATGGTATGCAATTTTAAGCCCCTTGGTGCATATAATGATTCCTTGCAATGAAATAGCTATAATACAATCTGCAATTTTACAGCAAATTCATGATATTTAAGAAAAGATAGAAAAGGATATAACTAAATGTTATTGAATTTTCCATTATCTAGTTCATTTTACCCAGAAGTTATATGCTTGAAATCCCTCTCTAGGGGCCCACCAGCGGCCAAGCGGTAAAGTCGCTGAACACTGGTAGTTCGGTCCGAGGTTCGAATCCCGCGAACGGGCTGGCTGCATGGGTGTTTTCGTGGTTTTCCCCATGTGTAACGTGTATACGAGCCAGTTTCCCTTAGAAAGTCCTCCACGAAAGGCATCCCTCCTATTAGGCAGATAGCCCTAGTGTGCTTTGCCATAATTAAATACACCACACCACCCTCTCTAGGGAGAAGTAGAAATCTTATTATTCTCCAATTTAATGAATTAACAATGAGGAATTATACTTCTTTTTTTAATTATTATCAGTATCTCTTCTAACGCTTTTAGTTGTTGAATCCTGAATGGCAAATCATGTTCTCAGAAATTAACACAGAATTTTTTCTTTTATAAAAAGAATTTTTCACTGGTACCGCCAGGAATATAATTCTGTGCTACCATTCTGTACTCATAGTCCACATTGTTAAAACTCTCTAATAGTTCTGTTTTCATTTTGCACTAACAGATTGCTAATGATCAAGTTTTTGCTCTCTTGGCTGATGTTCTTGGGATAAATATGAGCATGCAAATGCAAAAACTGGTATCGAGCAATGGATCCCCATAATTGTATAGAAAGAAGAAATAACGATAGAAACAATCAAAAGCAGGAACTTTCTTCTGTTATCACTGCATGCTATGCAGCAGATAAAAAACATTTTTTACAGTCAGATATGAAGACAACTGTTGCAAGTTTGCAAGAGAAGAATTATTTTAATAACAAAAAAGACACAATTTAAAAGGTGTTTAATATAAATTTGGGAAAATTTACAAAAGTAATATATTCACATCAAGTGCCACTAATTACAAAATATGATAAAAACTGCTAGCTAATGTATGCAAACGATACCTTTAAGTAGCTCCTCAGGTGTTCTTTTTTTTTTTTTTTTTTTTTTTTTTTTTTAAATCTCACCCGCACTGTTAAGAAGTTCTCTAGAATAAGACAAAGTATTGCACAGTAACTCTGGTTAATTCTATCGACAAAATATATTCAGAAGAATTCTTATTGCCAAAATATATTAACTGGATACAGGAGAGAGAGAGAGAGAGAACTTTAGAAAAATGCAGTACACATGAAGAGCTTGCAAAGCCTCAACAGTACTGCACTTAAAGTAAAATTCCTTAAGGATTACTAAAATTTACAGTTTGAGATGAAATTGCAAAATACTCATCAATATATTTCAAGAAATAGAAACAGACAATGCTAGGCCACTCCAACTTGCTTTGTTCGATTGCATTGATATTAAAAAAATCTTTACATTGCCATATTTTCTACACACATTCAGACACAGGTGCTGTTAAAACAATGAGAAACAAAAATTTCAGGAATGTTTTTGTTAATGTGATGAAGACTGCACAGTACTCCTGTAGAACAAATCAGCATTTTGTTAGGACTTTCATTAACAGCTTTGAAAGATACATGCTGATATTAATGGGAGATTTCACAAGAAATAAAGAAATACTGAGACTTCTAATCAACCTAAAAGCTGCAATGGTAATATCAATAAAGTCAAGTACTATGTCTGAGATGAAGAGAGCTGTAGAGGTTTAGAGAGAAAGAACATCTATTAGCACAAAAGAAACCAGAAATCAGATATCATGAAAGCAGATATTCTTCATAAAAAAATTTCATTATTTTAAATTTTCTAGAAAATGAAGGAAAGTTAAGAGAATTCCCTCCTCAGATTTAGGGAGTAAAACAGGAGTCATAAAAAAACAAAATAGGATGCTTAAACTCTTACCTATTTTACTGATAATTCATTAGAAGATATAAATATGTGTGTAACTAATAGGACATTTATTATGATAACAAAAAGCAAACAAGTTACATAACTGTGCAGGCTCAGGTGTACTAACTGCGAACGCCAAATGAAAAGGTGAAATTGATTGCTACAACCGGTTTCTCCTTCTTCTGCTGCGGGGGTCTGAAGGTGTAGGACGGCTCTAGCTGTCCTCACCCCGGCTGATGCATGTGCCATTTTCCTTCTTTCTTCTCGTTTTTGACTGCCATCTCCATTGCTGGATGTAGAGCCATGGTATTCCTTCTAGTAAAAAATTGGAATTGAAGATTCCACTAACTAGATCCATATACCTAACACCTGCCGAAAATTAATGATGTCCTACATCTTAAAAACTTCGAGAAGTCTTCCTATGCATGTGCTTTAATCTTTCCTGATGATTTAAGAATTTGCCTTGTTCCTCATCGAAAAATATATTGGTATAGCAAGCGAACTCAATTTCTGCTGTAAAATTTTGACAATTGTTTCTCACCGAGACTTTGTTTCACATTGATAAAAATATTAATTGATTTTTGTTATTTCAATTGTCATCCTTTGGGGTAAGTTATTTTAATTTCATATTTCTCTTTTAGATCACACATTTCTATCTGCATAATTGTAAGTATTTATGGGTTAGTGTGTCCACAATGCGATCAGTAGATCAGGCCAGCAATTTATTAGATATAACATTTATTAATCTTTAATTCACACCACACATTCCACTGTAACAATAAAATGAGATAAACATGAAGATGTTCAGGAGTAATTCCATCTATCTAAATACCACAATCTATAGATTCAAACACATCAGACTGTTGAAGAATGCACAGTTCATTGTCAGTAACTCAATTCTACAGAAATTGCTATGAGATAGTACAGACCATTAACAGTGCATTCAGGAAAGTACTGACAATTTTTTTTTTTTTTTTTCTGTTTTATGCTGACAGAAGTAAATAGTAAATACCAGTATGATACAAAGAGATGCAGCCTGAAGATTGGATAACTCATTTTGTATAGAATGAACACTGAAAGCTAGATTGAATATCTGTGCAAAAGAAAATGAATGTTTTCATTTTGTTTTACCAAATGTATTAGCATACAGTCTATGTGTCTTAATTCCATGGTTCTTATAAATGAGTGACACCCAAGTATAACTGAAAGATTTGCTCATGTTTAAATATGACTTGGGTGACATTAATATCTGTGTCAGTAAAATACATGTCAACAAATATTACTTGGAAATCTGCAAAGTGTTTTCGTAAACTTGTCACTATTACTAACCCTCCCTCCCTAACACACAGATACACACAAAACCAAGCTTACAGGCTTATTTTCAAATCATGAAATAATCAATTTACAGTTACTTCCAATTATAAGAAAAAACTGCATATACAGAATTCTTTTTATCAGCAGGGGGGAAAAAAATCAGCATTGAGGGGACAGAAAAAGAACTTTTATTCTTAAAAAGCACTGAGTTCTCTGTCAATACAAATCACAATATATGGTTGAATTTTGCTTAGGTTTAAGAACAATTTTTTTTTTTTTTTTTTTTTTTAAGAAATTTGATTTTGTCTCGATATGAAAAATTACAAACTTTATGCCACACACATACAAGTATTTAGAGTTTAGATAATGAAATGTACAATTATGAGATCACAGCTCCATAAAAAATAACTTTAAAGCCACAGCAGAAGAGAAACATATACAGTAGCATTTCTGTCATGCTAACTAATGTTCTTATCATTAATAGTGTTTAAGGAATATTGGTACTAGTTGCAATGCTAGTTCACTTAACCAGATAATTCCTAGTAAGACTACTACATATGTGTTCATCTATCCTCAAATCCAATTTGTAATTTATCTTATCAAAAATTCCATTAAAGCAAGGATGGAATGTTAATGCATCAGGTGTCCATGATAACAGATGGCATCCTGGAATATCCTATTCCTGGAATATCCTATTCAACTCTATCAAGAAAGTGATAAGTCACAAGTCTAGAATGTTGAACAAAAAGTCAAAATTCTTTGTGTGCTCTCATTATCAACATTTCACAAAACAAATTTAAGATTTAACTACAGATCTGAAATTTAACGATTACAAAAATGAGCTGCAGCGTCTTTGATAGACGAATTTATTAATGCAGTTTTATAAACTGTTTTGGATTAATGTGACACACAAAATTGATAAAATGCTGGAGTATAAACTTATCAATCATACAACATTATTAATGGAAGTTTTTCACAGACAAAAGGAAGTTCAAGAACTGGAAGAAATGGTAGATAATAAATAATAAGAAAAAAACTAGATAATAAGAAAAAAACATGATACATCTAGTAGTACTTGGGTACAGCTATTATTCATTGCTGGGAAACGAAAAATGCACAAGCTTTCAAAACAGGTTCTAAACATCTCATTCATCATGTTACATAGCAAGCTTTTGGGCTGGAACCAAAAACAAACTTCGTTGTTTGAAATTCACTCCATT